TTCAATCTTTGAACCCGTCAGGTAACGAAGGGAAGGGGGAGGAGTCCTTTGACGTCACGGACATCGACGTCAACGGACTCCTCCCTCCTTCTTTTCGTTACCCATCACGGACAACTACATCACCCGACTCCTCCCCCCTTCCCTACGTTAGCCGACAGAGCCCCTCGGGGAGGGGGGGAGGAGTCCGGTGACGTTGATGTCCGTGACGTCACCGGATCTCCGACGGAAGCCGGAATATGTTTGCTTTACAAATAAACATTTAACAGGTTGTGTATCCATAACATAAGTGTCTCAGAGCATTATGGGTTTTCTAAAGAGAAAGCACAGTAGGAACTGTTTGCTGTCAGACTCTCTCCCTCTGATTGAAACTCCAAATGGCTGTCTGAGCAGGCAGGGAGGAGCAGGAAGGGAAATGAATCAGTTCTCTGTACAGTATAATATATTCAAATCTATGTGTGTGGTGCTGAAAAGTAGAAATCGGTAACTCAGAGGTAATGTAGTGACATGCAAAGACCCTGAAATGTGGCTGCCTCAACCATATGCAGGAAATCTGCAGTCTTTTTGTTTGAGCACTCCTGTCCCAATGATATATCACTTGTGCAGCCATCATATGAACATTTTTATAGCTTTACTGAGTACTGTGATTATACATGCCATTCAACAAAAAGAACAGGTGGGATCAAATTAAAAAACAAAAGGGGAGAAAATAATAAAACATTATGGCTATTTTCCCTATTATTGTTCTTTTCAATAATATCACATCCAAGTCCCTTGCGTCAAATAAACCTCTGTGTCTTGAAGAAACCATTCTTGCTAATGACAGCTCTGCTTTGTGTTCTATAAACCCTTGGCTGTGCACTCAGGCAGCTGCAGAGATAGGAGAAGTCCTGAGCTATGAGTAATGAACTGTGACATGCCTGAATGATTTCACACAGAGTAGTCACTTCGGTAATAAAACTTAGCAGATAGTAGCAATTCACTGTACACTGGTTACATAATCCAACACCAGCTACACTCGTTTAAGAGACAAAACCGACTTCCCAAATGAAACAGATCCTAAGGGAAAAAAGTAATGGCTCTGTGTATTGTTTGACCCCTCGCGCTGAGCATTATGTCTTCCCTTTCAATTCTTATTTGCTGTACAATAACCAATCAAAATCCAAGTATTAGCTGAACGGTATTAAACTAGGAATCCCACAATGCAGCGCTTGAAATGGTAATGTTAATCTGACCTTAAGGGCTAGTTCACACCATCCTCAGTGTGTTCCGGATCGATTGTGACCGCAACGCATGGGATCACATTCCGGCTGGCTCACTTTGTCTTGGGGTGGGAGGAGGCGTGGTGGTGCATTGAACTCAATGGCACTGCAGCTATGCCCTCCGGCCGCAATGCGATCGGCCGCAGGGGAAGGCGTGGCACATTAGTGACTGCGTTCCGGTGCAATCAGAAAAAATAGTGCGTGCCTAAGGTGACAACAGTGCTGAGGTGCCAGACCTTGTGGTGCCTGGAAGTACCCGTGTTAGTTTTTAAAAGAGGCATTGTCAATTTGTCAGGAAGGTATAAAACAACCGTCTGCTCTCTCACTGTCCTCAATCAATTGGTATAATTAAATGGGCCTACTGGGTATGGAGGAGCATGTGACCTCTGCTTGTCAAAGTGTTTGGGCCAAAGTTTCTCAACCCTTTTTTAGTCATTTCACCCTTTAAAAGAATGCTAAATCTCGAGGCAATCTTACATTTAAGAAAATCCAGGCAAAGTGACCCATTTAAGGGAGAAGAGTTATACCTTGTCACAATTCCCTGTGCATTGCTCTGGCGCCATGTATTGCCCCCTGTCTGAGGAGTACGGCTTCCTGCCAATCCGCTCTAAGGGCTTCTGGCCACCATGCCTGGGCCAGATCTGCAAACACTGTGCAGTGATTTTTTGACATGTTTTTGAGGCATTTGTGACGCATTCCGGTGCATTTTTCTAATATTTTTAGCTTAAAATTAGCTTTTAGGTGCATTCCAGTCAGTTTCAGCGAGTTTGCATGCATTTTTATGCATTTACATGTGTTTTGGTGCGTTCCAGACCAGAAAAAATAGTGCATGCAGCATTTTCCCCCCTGCACCGGAACAGACTGCACTTGTGTGAACAGAGGACAGAAATACCTTAGGAACACGTTGGGATGCACTTCAGGTGCAGACAAAAAACGTCTTGGTCTGGATCTGGTCTGGACATGGTGTGAACAGGCCCTAAACCTCTGTTATAAATAGCCAGTGCACTTGTTGCTCGGCATTCGAGCAACGTGTCTATACACTTCGGCTGGACCACTTTGTGTTGCTTGGAACTTGTATCCTTAGGATCCCTGCAAACTGCTACTGCAAGTGTTGCTGTTCCGTGTCTCCTTTGGATTCCTTTATGCTCCTAGTGAGATCCTCCACTTCCAGCAAGTGGACTGTTATCACTATCTTCAGTGAGCTCTTTGCACCTGTGCTCTCTATCCAGCTTCTGTGTGGTTGCTTGTCTCTTTTAGCCTGCTTCTTCCGAGTATCCTGGCCAGTTGTACCGTTACTGACTCTCTGTTGTTTACCAGTGCTCCTATCACATTTATGGAATTCCTCCTCTTTTCCTCAGTATACTGTACTCCTGATCAGAAGAGTGTAACAAACTTCACCCGGGCCTGCCTTTGTATGCTGAACCTCGGTGCAGCATCTGTCTCACTTCTCAACGCTGCAGTATCCTGTCGTCTGTGCCTGCGCCGGTGTGTGTGAGGGCTGCAACCTGGGAGTTGTCCTGCAGTGTAAGATCCGCACCTTCTGGGGCTCTGGTGAAGACCCGGAACTTCATAGACCATGTGCCTCTAGCATGCCCCAAGTGATGTACAGTAATTTCAGCCCCTGGTTTCCCTGTGACCTGCATCTCAGGCATAATTTCAGCTCAGCCTATACTGACCCAATCTGTAAACCCCAGAGCCTATATTCCCTAGTTCCCCGGCTCCCAGACCGAGACATACTTACCTCTCTGTCAGATGACTACTGACACCAGGTGTGTTAGATAGTGCTTCCCCTGCTGTTGGATAGTGTTTCCCCTGCTTTCCCCTGCTTTGTGACTCCTCTCTACAGGACACAGTAAAGATGTGCTGCCAGCGAGAAGACCCACAGTGGCCAGCGGGGGACCAGGTATCCAACACACCCAGAAGTTATCTGCGGCACCCAGAGCTGTGCAAGGAAGCAAAGGATTCACTTAACCCCTACCAAAGAGATAAGTACAGTATATAAATTCTTTCTTTACAGTGTCCCTTTGCCTGGATTGTTTTTTATTCACGTAACAGTCGCTTTAAGTAATTTAGAAAAAGACACTGTATGGGCCCCAGGTGTCAGGAGCCCCTTGCAGACAACAGAACTGTGCTCTTCATACCATGTTCTGACTCATAAGTGTACATGGTCTTTAGAGAAGCAAACATTTTCAGTTGACTAGAGTACACATATGCACAGTGTTATTTTCATGCTGTCCACATTTCCTTCACATTTATTGATAAGCATCTCTTGAATACATTTTCCTTAACGTCAGTTTATTAAATAAAACATCTGCCCAAACATTTTTCATTTCACTCGGGGCAATCTGGATGTTTTAACTTTCGTATTAGTGGTTTTATTTTCGGAGAAACAGTTGGTGCATTTCCATTTATTTTCTTTCCTGTAGGCTAAGTGCAGCAGTTTGTGAGCTGGGTGAATTAAAGTGAACATAAAGTCATACAAGCAAAGCTCATTGTACTGTCTGCAAGTTTCATTATTTTTACTTTACTCCCTAAACCTGTTATATCTGCAAGGAACCAACTAATCCAAATTAAGTTTATTCATTGGCTTTACCATAGCCCGATACCTGAATAAGTAACATGGATCCTGCCAAAGCCCTTGACTGTTGAAATAGAGTTGGCATGTTCTATCATATAGCAAGCTATGCTCCAAGCATACTAGGGGGAGCTTGGCGTCCATGATTATTTGAGTAACTGGCATCCCCATCAGCATCAACACTGAAAAGTAGCTAGACATCCTACATTACTTTCATACCTGCAATTCCCTAATTAAAGAACGCATTGTTATTGCTAGACCCAGGGCAGGGCATGAGCTTGGGGTTTCTGCTAAGTGCCTTAGCTCTCCTCTGCAGTAACTATTGTCATATTCTAAAGCCTTTTTTCTCAACTGGTGGGTCGTGACCCAAAAGTGGGCTGTGACCCCATGTTCAGTGGATGATCACACGTCTTCCACTTTTCTAGGTGAGAGAATCCTCAGCCTCCTCCCAGCGCAGCACTATTAGTTCTCACGCCCAGCAACTATTCATAGTTACATAGTTAGTCAGGTTGAAAAGAGATACAAGCCCATCGAGTTCAACCTATAAAGACCTACAGAGAGAAACATTCAAAATATGTTGCCCGACACTGCGTGTCAACATGAGGTGGGGTGGGCTGGAAGTATGGCCCAAAGGGAGCTCCATTCATATGTGCATTGCTTACAGCTCCCTTGTGTGCCCTGTAGAGATGCCTGGACTGGACGGACATCACATTCTGGCTCCCGGAACCTCTACAGTACAAGGACAAATGTGGGCCCTGAGGTTACACAGGTTGAGAATCACTGTTCTAAAGGATGATTTTGGGAAGGTGTTCTAAAGTCTGTGTCCCCTGGGCTTTGGGCCAAAGGGGGTTGTGTGTTGAAGGAGTCTGCACTGTTTAGAGATTGCTATAAAACAAGGTTATAGAGTTCTCTCTTGGCTTTTTCATTATGGTAAACAGTAATAGGCACTGTGCAGCAACCCAAATGGACCACATGGTCACATGGTTTTGTGAAAAGAGTCTAATAGGTCTGATTCACAAAGGATGGGCCACAAAATCAATAAATCAATCTTTGATACAGCTAAATGACTAATTGAGTCAACACCACTTCATCTCTTGTTCAAAATGGCACCATAAAGAGGATTCTTCTTTCCTTGTGACAACCTGGAGGGAGAAGATTCTGCTTACCGTAGTGTGGGATTATGGCCCAAGCCATGGCTGATGCATATATTCCACCTATCATCCAAAACATACACAACCAGCTCAAGTGCTCTCCTCGCTTCTCTCTTGCAAGAACTTCCGAAAAATAGGAAAATGCAGTTGGTAGAGCTCCTCCAATCCTGGAAAAGTTATAAGATATGATAAAGTAAATTATATACAATAGGAGAAAGGTAAATGTCAATGCAGCTTATGTTTGTAGTTAATAAAATTGTCATGCACCATAATTTCGCCCGCCGAAACATATTGGCCGAAAATGCCACTTTTGGCAAAATGCCAAAAGTGCTATACCTCGGCCAAAATAGGGGTGCATGCCTTGTTTCTCTCCTCCCCACTGGGCGCTGCTCTGTGTCCCCTCTGACCCAGTGCAGCGTCCAGTAGGGAGAAGAGAAAGTGTCACAGGAGGCCGAGCGGTGCGGGGGAGGAGACCGATGTGAGCGGCCGGCGTCTCTCCTCCTGAACCGCTCAGCCTCCTGTGACAGATTAGGAGAGCGGTAGTGTGGGGGCGGAGTCAGTTCTCAGTGCTGTCACAGGAGGCTGGGCTCTCCTCCAGCACCACCCCACTCAGCCTCCTGTGACAGATCAGGAGAGCGGCAGTAGTTATAGACAAATTTCTTTACTAAACAATAGCCTCAAACTATTTGCCCAAATCCTAGCTCTAAGAATAAGTCCTATACTACATCATATTATTTATCCAGATCAAACCGAATTTGTCTCCCATAGAGAAACCAGGGATAACACTATCCGTACCATTGATCTCATTCATAGAGCTAGGACTTCGGGAACTCCCATGTTGATCCTGTCTACGGGCGCTGAAAAAGCATTCAACAGAGTGGCATAGGACTTCCTAGGTGGGACCTTGTTCCACATTAACATTCCCCAACAGTTCCAAGCTTGGTTTGGAGCTCTTTACTCTAAACCATCGGCAACAGTTAGAATTAAGCGTCATCATTCTTGCCCCTTTTCTATTACTAATGGCACCCGTCACGGATACCCTCTTCCCCCTTATCTTTATCCTCACTCTTGAGCCTTTTCTATCGCACATTATGAATAACCCTGATATCACGGGCTTACAGGTGGGAAATTGTCTACACAAGGTTGCAGCCTACGCTGACGACCTTCTGTTCTATATAACCAAACCACATACTTCTTTACCGAATCTAATGAAAGAGTTACAATTATATGGCTTCCTGTCAAATTTCAAAATTAATTTTCAGAAGTCCTTTCTACAGTCAATTCAACCTAACTTCTCCTTCCATTGGGCAACACAAGCCATTCATTATCTGGGTAAAGATATTACCCCTAATCTCGCTCATCTCTTTCACTGTAATTTTTTGCCCTTCTTCCGCTCTCTATGTAGCGACTTGGAAAATTGGCAGTCCCATGCATTTTCCTGGTTTGGAAGGTGTAATTTTCTGAAGATGACGCTACTGCCTTATCTCCTGTACCTTTTTCGAACAATGCCGATTTGCATCCCCAATTATTTTCTTTGACCTATACGTTCTGCTTTCATTCAATTTATCTGGTGCGGAAGAGCGGGCAGATTAAAAGGGACCTTACTGACACGTTCGAAGGTGAGCAGTGGAGTGGGACTTCCTGATCCATCATTTTATTATTTAGCAAACCATCTAACCAGAGTTGTAGACTGGTGCAGACATGGACAGCAAAACATATGGGTTTCTGTTGAACAAGACAGTTCCTTGGATTGACAACCACTTCATAACATCCTTATCTAAACATCCCCTAATTGGTCCTACCGTATCACAAATTCTACTCTCTAAGTTCAACCCCTTGTTGTCCCTCACCAATGTCTCCAATACTAGGCCACCCTACATTCACCCCTGGTTTTACAGATAAGATATTCTGCACCTGACGTGAGGCAGGACTGGAAAGAGCTTACCATTTTTTACGCTAAAACTCTTGGAAAGACATCACTATCCTGCACTCGGAATTTCAAGTACAATGTTTGGATCAATGGGGACGATTACAGCTTTCTCACTTTCTACAGTCCCAACCTAATTCACGGCTATTCTCAAGGACACGCTCTCCTTTCGAGATTCTGTGTTCAGGTCAAGGCATAGTTAGGGGTACCCTCTCCAAGGCCTATCAATTTATTCTCGATGATTCTGCTGACTCAGATCTACCTTTCATTAAAAAATGGGAACGAGACTTAAGAAACTAATTCTCAAAAGATCAAATCGATCAGATTCTATTCTTTGCTCACAAAGCATCAATTTGTAATAAATATCAAGAAATCACCAATAAAATCATGACCTGCTGGTATAGGACCCCTTCTTTCTTAAAACATTTTTTTCCAGATCACTCTAATATCTACGTGAATCTTATTCCATATTTTTGGGAGTGCTCATTGATCAAGCCTTTCGTGCAACAGGTCCTCGGTATAATCAAGGAACTCACTGGTTTTGACTTGATGAACAATCCAGCAGCCATCCTCCTGAATCTAACGCCAATGTCCAGAAAGAGCTATAATAACTCACTATTGAAACATTTATTGAATGCAGCTCGGGGGCGTGTGTCCCTAGCACCCTGAAGCAACAGAGTAAACAAAAACAAAATCAGGAATATGGAGGACCTCACATCCAGGGCCGTCTTTAATATTAAGTGGACCCTGGGCAAGATTTTGCTGATGGGCCCCCACAACCCACCCACCTCCATTACCTGCCCCCCACTTCCTGACGCAGACCCCCCGTATCCATCTACATCACCTTCCCCGAAAACTAAAAACAATATATGTGTGTGTATAGCAGGGATCCCAACCTGAAAGAAGCAATTTCAGGGAGGTGCCCTTCTCATTTCAGGGAGGTGCCCTCTGCCCCCCCCCCACCCCAACCGCAGGGGGGGGAAGAGCACCCCCCTGAAATTATGACAGATAGCAGAGGAAGCAATAGCTTCTTAATCCTATGCTGTTTTTTTGGGGGGGGATTTCTGACTGACGGCGGCTCCAATGTCAGAAAAAAAAAACAGAGCAGGGAAAGGTTTACTCTGCTCGATTGAGCAGAGTAAACCTTTTCAGGAGAAAGTGTTCCTCTCCTCGGCCGGGAGCCACTATCTAATAGCGGGAGACTCCCTGAGCGTCCGGGAGAGTTGGGATGTCTGGTATAGACTCAGGACTCTGCACCGCAATAAACTCAGGAGTCTGCAATGCAATGGAGTCTACATTACAGATTTTTGACCCTATATTAGTCTATATTATATGTAGAATGCATATGTTGAAAATGCAATGCACCATGCAGCAAGTGTTTGGGTCCATGCAATATAAATGCAATATGGATTTTACTAATTTAACCACATACTGGCACATTTATTCTGAACTATTTTTTAAATCATACAATATGATTTAAATTAAAAATCTTATTGTATGATTTATAAAGTAGCACAGAACAAATGTAGCACCTCATGGTTATATCAGTAAAATCAGTGATGCATTTACATTGCATGCCCCCGAACATTTGCTGCATGGTGCGTTGCATTTTTAACAAATGCCTCTGTGTATATTATATCTAGAATGCATATGTTGCAAATGCAGTACACCCTGCAGCAAGTGTGCGGGGTCATGTAATGTAAAAGCAATAACGATTTTACTAATATAACCATGTATTGGTACCAGGGGCCTAACAGCGGCCCTGCTCACATCAGCCCTCTACAACAGGTCTGACCTTTTCACTCCAACTTGGTTTTATTGGGAACAATTTGTTTCATCTGAAGAATATATTACCCTACTTTAAGATTACATGGTTTCCTTTTCTTATCTTCTTACCTTTCTGTTAGCTTGTTTTTTCCCTCTATTCCTACTTTCTCTTTTCTGTTACTCTTTTTCTTCTCTGCATGCCTTGGTCATTACTGATTACTGAATGTCAAATAATACTTAAATGTTAAATGTTCAGCAAACCCTAATTCACATGGTAATTTGTCACAAACAATTTATGCTAATCTGTCACTCACTCTTCTCTTGTCTTTGTTCACCCCTTTTCTCTTTTCCATGTTCACTGAGCCCCTTTCTTTTGTCCCCACTCTCCCTTCCATTCTCTTCGGGTTCCCCTCCTTTTTCCCATCTTATCCGTCATGACAACACCCTCCTTACAATAGTCCCCCGAATCCAATATATGTTCATGGAGAGGGAAAAAAAAAAAGTAAACTTCACCAAATGTCACTCAACTTCATTACATAATTAATTCACCGATATGTGTTAAAGTTCTTATTCAGTCTCTTAAGAAACCGTATATATTGTTTATTATATTAAGACCTTTGTAAGTTGTCATATCCTCTTTCTTTTCATTATGCCTTAATCATTTCTTTTTTACATAAAACTGTTTGTATATAGGTGGATTTAACTTGTTAAATATAAAATGTGAAAAAAAAAAGGAGAACGGCAGGGTGGAGGCGGAGACAGCTGTCAGAGGAGACCAAGCTCTCCTCCGCGCACTGCTTGCTCAGCCTCCTGTGACAGAGAGTCAGGATGGAGAGCGGGTACAAGCAGTCGGTGATCAGTGATCTCTGAGTGTTTGTAAATTATTGAGGACATTGTATGTGTCCTCAATCCCTTTTTCTATTTTAAAAGGGAAATATCAGGAGTCTGTTTAGACCCCCAATATTTCCCCGATGCCCCCAACAGTAAAGTTAAAAAAATTTTTATTTAATAAAATAAATAAAAATAAAATATTTAACAAATTTGAAAAGGTTTTTTGAAAATTCAGTTTCGGCCTGACATTTTTTTAATTTTCAGTTTCGGTGCACCTCTAAATAAAATATTTTTATGATTATTATAATAGCTGCTCTTAATACTCTACTTTTTTTTACAGACAATCACATTCAGCACGTGTTTACTGTGGCAGGGCCTAGAATTTGCAGACCCAGAGATTTTTTACCTTTTTTAGGCTCTGCATTCGAGCTAAGTAGATAACATTAAATAAATGTTTTAAATGATACAACATGATCTATTCGATTTTACACTCTGCAGTATTGTACGCGATATATTGACATTTTATATACATCTAACTTGCTGCACCTAAAAGGTTCCACTTAGTTCATATACTCATTGGATCATAAAACAAATCTTATGAATATTCTCATGGTCCATGATCTACACAATATAAATTGAAAC